ATGAATAGCAACGAACACGTCGCCATTAACAAGTACTTGAACAAGGCTCAACGAATTACTCTCGATGACGTGTTCGCCAAACGTTCAGACGGCGACCGGGCTCAGCGACGCACTCGAATCATCTGTACGCTTGGGCCTGCCTGCTGGGAGCCTGAGATGTTGGTAGAGATGATGGATGCTGGTATGGACATTTGTCGATTCAATTTTTCACACGGCGACCACGAGAGCCATGGAGCGTGCTTGGCTCGAGTCAAAGAAGCCCTGAAGATGCGCCCCAACAAGACGGTAGGCTTGCTGCTTGACACAAAGGGACCTGAGATCCGTACTGGGTTCTTCCGCGAAGGACTTAAGTCGATTGAACTTAAGAAAGACCAAGATTTAAAGATCGTCACTGACTACTCTTTCAAGGGAGATGAGACCTGCATCGCGTGCACGTATGAGAAGCTACCTCAGACTGTGAAGCCGGGCATGCAAATCCTCATTGCAGATGGTTCGTTGTCCGTTGAAGTTAAGGAGTGCGGTTCTGACTACGTTATCACAAGAGTGATGAATGCTGCCAAGATCGGGGAACGTAAGAACATGAACCTGCCTGGTGCTAAAGTTGAGTTGCCTGTCTGCGGCGAGCGTGAGATCAAGGACTTCCTTGAATTCGGTATCCCCAACCAGATGCACTACATTGCTGCATCGTTTGTGCAGTGCGCTCAAGATATTCGTGACATCCGGAAGATTTTGGGTGAAGCTGGAAAGCACTTTAAGATCATCCCGAAGATTGAGAACCAGGAGGGCCTTCACAACTTCGACGAGATCTTGGAGGAATGCGACGGTGTCATGATTGCCCGTGGAGACATGGGAATGGAGATCCCGTTGGAGAAGGTCTTCCTCGCTCAGAAGATGATTATCTCCAAGTGCAACCTTGCAGGCAAACCTGTAATTGTCGCTACGCAAATGCTGGAGTCGATGATTAACGCTCCTCGTCCTACTCGTGCGGAGGTATCCGACGTGGCCAATGCGGTGTTGGACGGTGCTGACGCAGTGATGCTTTCGGGTGAGTCGGCCAATGGCCAGTTCCC